CAAGCCAAGTCGTGGAGGGGAAGTCCACTCCCCTCCAGTGTAAACAAACAAACTCTGCAGAGCAGAGCAGGGTGACTGCAAACACAGTAAAGTGATGAAGGCCGAACAGAAAGCCCAAAGAGGTCAAGTTAAATAACATAATGACACACTGAATGCTGACAAGAAAAAAATCTTTCCAGATGTCAGTGTTTTGACCCAAAACAGACAAATGTCCACCCCACACTTACGACAAGTTCCAACAAGTATAAGAAATTGCTAACACTGGACAAACGAGGCAGAATAAAAGCAAATCACAGTAAAGAGCTCTCAGACAACACTTGTTCCAATCAAAGCTCAGTTGAATGTAATAAGCTAATTATTGTTATTCTTACAGTATTATTTAAATACTGTGCAAGGTTTGTGTAACATTATGATTTTAAAGACATTTTTATACAATTTTAAGTGTCAAACTGGCTGAAAGGTTTTGGCTGGAAAAAAAACGAAACAATTATTTGGAGGTAAGTGAATTTACAAAGATCCATTTCTCATACTTGCTAGCAGTTGCAGGTGTAATCTCAGTTAATGTAGCTGGACAAGAACCTCTACAAAGAACACAAACAAAACTAAACTAACCTAAAAGAACACAAAACTTCAATATAAATACACACACACACACCTTGGCCAATCAGATCATGAGAGGACAGCTGAGGGCCACTGGTATTGATACCAGTGTCTACCATGTGCATCCAAGGTGTTCAGAAATCATTACTGTCTACCTCACCTCCTCTAGAAAGGCAGAAAGCCTCACACAGCCATCTGTTGCCAATAAAGCACCAGATTTGTTCCGGAAGCGTTGGCACAAAAAAACCCTAAAACGTTTCAAGAAGGCTTTTCCAACTGTTTAGACTGGAATGACACACACTTGCAATTTGCAAAAAGGACCAAATAAAGTCCCTTATTGATAAAATATTTTCCTGTTATGTTTTTGCTGGGGACACATTGGAAAACTTTTGCTTTTACACAGTAAAATGTGTGAGGCCAAATGTATCCCAGACCACCAGTGACTGAATCGCAACATTTACACTTATGGCACTAATCTGACTGATCAAGGTGCATTTTAAAGCCAAGTGTAGCCAATTTAATTGAACAGTTAGCTACTATTTGAACTTGTATGCTGCACACAACCTTTTGTTCAATATGTAACACTTAACCAGTCCATGAATTAGGCTTTAAAACATTTAGTCAGGAGAAGTAGAAGATCTCAAACCATTTGATCCCTATCAGGCTGAGCCTTTTGTTAGTTTTACTTGCAGGTGTGTACTTCTCTGTTTAGTTTGGATGGGGCGCATGCTGCTGTGCAGACTGCAACTACAACTAGAAAGGCTGAAATTGATCAAGAACCTAGAGTGATATGTGGGCTGGATTAAAATTCCAGAAGGCCAGATTTGGCCTGTGTGGCTTGATTTGGACACACGAGGTTTTGTCTTACAATTTTACCAATTTGAACAAAATGATAGAAACAAAACACTTTTGCTTGAGGGATGAAAATGACATTTGTGAATAAATAACCAGCCACAAGGAAGAGTCAGACTCATGACTTCTGATTCTGGAGATAATTTCTCACCCCACTGAATTCTGATGTGTCTGCACCACAGGTTTTTAATGGTGACACTGGGTGTCTGAGAAGTGATAGGTTTGGCGGTACTAACAAGCAGGCCCCCCAGTATAAACGGAAATGGCATAAAAGCATTGTTTTTACTGAAATAATGGAAGTCAGGTAATTGCAGTCTGTGTCTTTGGAGTGTCTGTTGTGTGCTATCCAATCACAAGGATTGTATAATGAAGTAAACCGTCAGTCACATGGTGTTGATCATGAAAGGCCACAAAGAAACCCCAAACACGCCCCAAAACATGTGGATTTGCTTTTATCACAATAATAATAAATAGTTCCCATTTCTGTATAACTGTATATCTCAGATTTCTGTGAAGTTATTTATTTCATATTCTGTATAGTTTTTCATATTTATATCCTGTTCATATCCTGTACATAGCTTGTACTCACTACAGCCTGTACATACCTATAGTTATAGAATATTCACAACATACTTCATACCGTGTACATTATAACATACCATAATAGACCCATATATTGCTATATTGTAATATATCTATATCACTAAAGCACTTCTGGATGGATGCAAACTGCATTTCGTTGCCCTGCACCTGTGCATGTGCAATGACAATAAAGTTGAATTCTATTCTATTCTATTCTATTCTATTCTATTCTATTCTATTCTATTCTAATATAATCAATATTTCTGGCTTTGTGAGTGAATGTCGGACTAGACCACTAACATCTGGCTGTCTATGACTATTAGGTGCAATTTTTGTCCTCAGGTCCAAAGAAAGGTTTGGCTGAAATCAAAAAACCAAAAAACAGGGAGCTGCAGAAAATTTAAGACTTTCTAGAAACTTGTAGTGTTTGAAGATTGACATTTTTAAGACCTTTCAGACCTGCAGATACCCTGAATTCTTGTTTTATATCTCAGGTTACCCAAATAATTCAATTCAATTCAATTTCTTTATTGTCCCACAAGGGGAAATTAGTTTAGCAGCAGGAGGATAAGAACAAACAGAACAATACTATAAAACAATAATAACAATAATAATGATAATGATAGAAAATTCAAGGACAATTATTTGCCATTAAGGAGACAAGACGCAGTAGGGATAAAAGAGACCTGGAGTCTTTTAGTCCTCCTCGGAGGTACTCTAAAATGGCGGCCGGAAGGCAACAACTCAAACTCTCTGTGAAGTGGATGGTTCACAAAATTAATAATAGAATGAGCCTTTCTAAGCACATTTCTATTGTAAATGGCCAAAAGTCCATCTTGCCAGCGCCCTGAAATTTTGCTAGCAGTTTTTACCAGAAGTCCCAACAGATTCTTATTCTTCACCGTCTGGTGCATAACACATGTACATTTATGATTTGAATCTAACCTCTGACCTTGATGCTCCCCTCAAGGAAGCATTAATAACGTCCCCCTCAATGAAACATATGGCAGTGAAAGAGCCTACAGGTGGATGCCAGGTGTAGGCAGCATCAGTAACAGCAAAAGATGTGTAAGAGAAGGTAAAGGATGTCAGAGTGTGCCATGTGGGTGAAGTCAGCTAAAGGAATCCTTGCCGTAATGAAAAAAAAAACAGTCACAGGAAATCTTTGGACTTTTCTCTCATTTTTATTCGAGTAAAATAAAGCCCCAATTCCAAAATCAATTGGAACGCTGTGCAAAATGTAAATAAAGGCAGAATTCATACGATCTGCAATTCTCATAAACCCATATTTTATTCATAGTAGAACATAGAAAACATACCAAATATTAAACACTTTATAACACTCTACTATCTTTTGAAAAGAATTTAGCTCATTTTGAATTAGGTGGCTGCAACATATCTCAAAAGCTGAAACAGAGCAAAAAAAAAGGATGAAAAGTCAGAGGTACTAAAAAGAAACAGCTACAGGAACATGTTGAATTAAATAGGCTAATTATCAGTAATATGATTGTATATAAAAAAGAGCATCTTATCATCAAATCATCAAAAGATCATCAAAAGATTCAGCAACTTGGAGCGATCTATGTGCACGAGGTACAAAGCTGAGCCCTGAGGCCACATTGCATTAAAATGGGTTTGATTGTATCATGGAAATCACTGCATGAGCTCAGGAACCGTGCCATCCAGAAATTCATATTACATCTCTATCACATGAAGAAGATGCTATGTGTGAACATGATTCAGAAACAATGGCATCTTCTCTGAGCCAAAGTTCATCTAGAATATACTGAGATGAAGTGGGAAACTGTTCTGTGGTCAAATTTGAAATTCTTATTGGTAATTATGGACACTGGAACCGCCAGACTAAAAAGGAGAGGAAGCATCCAGCTTATTTTTAGCAATCAGTTCAAAATTCTGCATTTCTGATGATACGATACGATGCGATGCGATATGATACAATACGATACGGTACGATACGATACGATACGGTACAGTACGATACGGTACGATATGATGGGAGAAGAACATCCAGAAAGGCAGCATCAGTGCAGAAAAACATATACAGGTTTTAGAGCAACAAATGCTCCCATCCAAAGACTTTTTTCAGAAAGGCTTTGGATGCTTCAGCAAGACAATGCTATACCACATATTGCAGCTACAACAGCATGGCTTAGTTTCTCAAAGAGTGCTGAACTGTCTGCCTGTAGTCCAGACCTTTAACCAGCTGGAGACATCTGGCATATCATGAAATGAAAAAATACAATAAAGAAGCCAGAGGACTGTTGAGCAGCTAGAATCCTATATGAGACAAGTATGAGACAACATTCCTTTCAAATAGTCTAGCAGCTGGTCTCTTCAGTCCCAGATGTTTATGGACTGCTGTTAAAAGAAGAGGGGATGCTACACAGGCCTTGGCTTAACTTTTTTGAGACGTGTTACTGCAATCAAATTCAAAATGACTTTGATATGTTTTCTATGTTCTACTGTAAATACAATATAGGTTTATGAGATTTGAAAATCATAATATTTACATTTTACCCAGCATCCCAACTTTTTGGGAATTGGGGTTGTAAAAGTTAAACAGACACAGAACACATGGAGTTCATATCCCCAACATATAAAGTGAGACTGTAAATCGTGACAACACTCAGAGCAACATTACTCAGCACGCAGTTCTGTCAAGGTTGATTTAATATCTAAAGGGGATTTCCCTCTTTCTCTGGATTACTCAGCATCGCACAAAGCGAACCACAGCTAATTTCCACTGTAGTTTGGTTGCTTTAAAAGGGCATCCCACATCTATAAAACCAGTTCAAAAGTTTATAAATCTTCTTGGTCCACCTGTAAAACCTTTACAATATATAGGACAAGAAGTTCCATCAAAAATATTTAAGGAGCATATTTGCTCTAACTGGGCTCCTAAATAAACGTATATCAGTGTAAATACGAGCTTTTCCGTTGCTCACCTCCATCTTCCAGCGGCTGAGCCATTCTTCTCTCTGTCTCCTGCTGATATAGTATGGATCTCCAGCCTGAAAAGTTACTCTGGGGACTGGCCTTCTCCGCAGCCTTCCAGTCTCTCCCTGCATGTACACAAAAAGCTTGTTATATATTGCGTATACCATGAGAGTGATTGATTTAACCATGTAGAAAACATGCAAAATTGCTGCAGACACTTGTTTTCTCACCTCTCTGGGGGAGTCGCAGTTTCTGTCATCTGGCTCGTCTGCAGGGGAAAAAAAGTTACAGGAAATGGCTCATTTGTACAGGTTTAACGAGAGATTTAATGAGGATGTAAAGACGTGGTTTTCATCACTTTGCCCCAGTGTACTTATGTACAATTACCATTCCCTTAAAAGCTGCAACATGGAAGTTCTTTGAAAGGTAAAGTTTTAGATAAATGAATTACACAAAAGATAACATTTGTTGTTGTAAATAAACTGTTTAAAGTTTTTATACTGAAAGAAAATTAGCAGAACTTTTCCGAATGCTGTTCAATCTAAGGTAATAATCATATATGGGCAAAGAGCATTAAAGCTGTACCCTTATTCCTCTCCGCTGGCTCTTGTTTCCGACGCCCGCGCTTCTTGCGAGGGGAGGGTGAAGGCGCCGGCTCCTCAGGCGGAGTTGGGGGGGCGTTTGCACAGGGGTCAGAGGTTGCCATCTCCTGGGAAACACACAGTGCACAGTCTAGGTATGAGAAAACTGTTGAACGCCCTCGTCTACACCCATCAAAGGGTTCCACAGACATAATAATCATACACACACACACACACACACACACACGTGCAAGCTCTATACCCACACATAAAACAAATGCCTAAAAACACACAGTCAAAGAGCTACTTCAAAACTGCACACACATATTAGTCTGCAGAGGGCGTCTGCACAGGATCACTGTAATAAACACCCCCAGGTACCATTAAAACACACACAAACACACACACACCTTTGAGGTGACGATGGGGGGGGGGGGGCTGTACTGATGTGAATAACAGTGCTAAATGATCCTAACTGCTCCTACAAGTTTAAATGTATATATATTTACAGATGCATGCCTAATATTAAGCACAAATTTAAAATGAATTTACACTGCAAAATATCAATATGGCAATACTCGTGAATTATGAACTCAAACAATCTTCTGCCTCTAGTTCAGGGGCTAATCCATTAGCTGACCAGCTCTAATAATGCTAAACCAGGGGACACAGCAGGGTTTGTTTTTAATATGTGTGTGTTTGTGTGCTGCTAAAAGATTTTATAGATCGTTGGTTAAAAAGTGCAGAGCCAGAGGTGAATGTCAAACTCAAATGCTACGCTAACTCTAGCTTACGCTAACAGGCATGCAAAAGCTGTAATGAGCGGCTGAGGCGGCCTGTAAAAGTCAGATAACGCAAAAAGGTGACTAAAAGGGCCTTGGGACACATTAAAATACTCCAGCACACACTTTTAACACTTGCAGTCAAACAGAAACAAGGTTGTAATCCAAAGTTACATTTCTGGTGGCCTTACAGCATACATAATAGCTAAAATGTACTATTTTGCTTTAAATGTATGCTGTTGCCCTTTTGTAAAATAACAGTAAAGAGTTATCTACATTTATAGACCACCAGGTTCTTAGACTTAATGTGGGATCAAGCAGGGTCTCCAGACTCCATATAGTGACAGGGTAGCACTTTATATTTGTTTACAGAGTTAGAATCAAAACTAGAGTTATAAAAGTAAAAAAAATGCTTTAAAGATTACTCATAATACTTCGTCAGCACTTATTAAAATTAAATCAAATGCTAAAGGGAGAACTATTCATAAATATAGTGTTTAATAGACTTAATTAATTACAACAAACACATCAAACTCACACTACATAAATCAAGCCAATCCACTAAAGTCAACCACTTTGGTCCAAGTGGTTGACTTTAGTGTGAAACTTGCTATTTGAAATAATACATTTGTGTATTACTATAAAAAGCATATTAAAAATTGTGGATATCTACTGATAATAATACATTAGCTAAAATGAATTAAAAAGATGTGAACAAAACACGTGGTATGAATTAAACAAGCTGAAAATGATAAAAAATTAAATTAAATTAAATTAAAAAAAAGTTAGCACACCATTGTCTATCCTGTGAACCATGACGTGCCCTTGATGTGAGCACGTGGCCTTTAACATTTATCATTTTAACCCAAATATGAAATTAAAGCTGCATTAAACAATAAAGAAAACACTAAACCAGCTCCTAACTTTTAAGCAAACAACTGACTACTTACACATTCAGCAGAAACAGAGGAATCTGGGTTTGCAGTCATCTTTTTGGCCACATGTTGAATGCAAATTCATTTCAGCCCTGGTTTGGTCCACAGACTCTTGAGAAAAATATCTGGATGTCTTTGGGTTGCTATAAGTGCTCGCCGTTCTTCAGCTACTTCGCCTCTCCGTCATTTAGCGCTACACAGAAAGTGTAAAGCCGGCTTGAGTCAGCTGGTTATACACTTCCTTTTGCAAGAGCAGGTGCACTGGTTAAGCTTCACTGAACCAATCCTACGACCTGATTGAAAAGCAATAGGTGGATATTGCTTAATGCAGCTTTAAAGATGTGCTGATATTTATATGATAGTTTATAGTGAAGAAAAAGGCCACAAATGCGCTGCAAGCAGGCATAAATGCATCGAAAAGCAAGCTATTTTTAGCACAGTGGAACTTTCACCTTTTCAAACAACTTCTCTTTGCACTTCCTCTTCTCTCAGAATCTATCATCGCCTTGATCTTGACTGACAGACAGCCTGGAAAGTACCTGACTTTACTCTACAGCTGACAAACTTTAAACTGACTGTGTATACATTGCAGCAATCCAGCTAAGGGCAGCTTTTAGTTGGATGAAACGTTTGATTACACCCAAGAATAGGCTGAGCAGAGAACAGGATGTAACAAACAATAAAACAATGGTGCACCAAAATAATAGAATAAGCAATCACACTACAGCAAATTAATACATGCCAGCTGTGTTTATGTTTTACAGATGTACAGCCGAAGTAGCTGCATGTATTGTTAAAGTGTAAGATGTGAAAATAGGCAAATATCTTTTGTAGAAATCTGTGTTTTTCCTGTATATAAAAATTATAGAATCTACCAAAGACACAGTAGGATTTTTCATTATGATTTGAAAGTACAATTTTGCTTATCAAATGGCCAGAAATAAAAAAAAAATGTACAGACTTCTGATAAGACTAATTAAACTTAGTTATATGCAGACCAGTTGCGCTTATGTGCATCCCCCAACCCTACAAAAAGGCCCAATCCGAGCCAGTAAAAACCCTGGAAATGTGTACTGCAGGTATTTTTGCTTAAATTGAGCAATTAAGAGGAGAAATGTCAAAACTATGCACAAGTCACATCAAAGCACACCACCCAGATTTCCCCAATATTTTTATGTTTTTAAGTCCCACACCCTCCTGTTGTGAAAAATTGCAATACATGCATCCATAGTTTGTGTTATCCTAGCTGCCAGATCATAAGATTTACTGAGTTTGCAATTGGGTGATACAACAGCACAAAGTAGCAAATCTACACAGAATGGCTGAATCTTATGGCAGGATCTTAAGAGAGCTGTGCATAGGCGAATGCCTGCAAACCTCAATAAAATAAAGCAACATAGCAAAGACACGCGGGCCAAAATTCCTCCACAGCAGATAAAGTAGACTGATAAAGTCATACTGAAAATAATGACTTAATTTGTTGCTGCTAAAGGTGGTTCTATAATCATGGGGGCGTACATAGTTTTTTTAATCAAGTATAAGTCAAGAATCCTCTGAAAACATTATTTTACACAACTGTGCATGTTCTTGGGTTGTTGTTTTGTTTTTTTAAGTGTAGGCTTTGTTTTTCAATAATTTAAGTTCATGTTCATACCCCTGTACTGTAACACACTCTCACAAGTTACATTCACGTCTTAAATGCTGTTGACCGTCTTTGGCACTTTACTGCAACCATTTGCATTACTGTCATACCTGCTACCATTGGTCATTTCCACTACTGTCCATGTACAACTCACAAGCTGGTCTATCTACTTATTTATTTATCTATTTATTATCTTTCACATCTGCACTGCTGTATATAGGTTTCACTTTTAATATATATTTCCCCAAAATGTGTCCTTTATCTCTTTTAATTCTTAATTCTTCCTCACAGTCAGGTGACACAAAAATGCATTAGTGCCATTAATTTATGGCACTTTTTAGGATATCTGTGATAGATGTAGAGGTATAATGAACACAAACAAAATGACCACACTTTGTACCTGACATTGTTTCCCTTACTCATTATAATCAGGTAAAGTTTGAGTGTTTTCTGGCAGATTTTTTTACTTTTATATGAGTTGATCATATTTATATGACTGCACATAGGAACTCAACACCACACGATCTTTTGCTTGCTATTTTAAATGTTGTGACCAAAATTGTCATTTTTATCCACCAACCACGTGTCATGATACTTTTTTGTCAGACATGCCAACCACAATCTGTTCGCAATCCATCTGTGACCTTTTTGTGGTCTGGATGCAAAACGGAAACACCAAAAGAAACCAAACGAAACTCCACATGCACCAAAAGTGAATCGAAAGGTCTGGTTGACATGCATAGTCTGACTGAGCTAAGAGCCAAGCAGTTTAAATAATTATAGTTTAGCATAACCTAAGATTGAATCTAGTTATTATAGTGCAAGGAGAGTTTCATTTTTTATAAAAAACTGAGGGGGATTTTCACGTTGAAGCACGTTAAATGTTGGGAAGTGTTCCAATATAACTCTGTAGTCCTACTGTCCTTCAAACTACTTTAATCTACAGTAACACACAGACATGCATAATAACCCACCAGCTGCTCCACACATGGTTGAAGCAGAGAGGAAGAAATGGGATCAAAATGAGGGAGGAAATAGGAGGAGGAGGGGGAATACTATCTTAACTTAGAAAAAAATACTGACCAGCGGGAAAACAGAGCAATGAAATGATGAAGGAAACAAAGACAAAGGCTAATTTAATCATCCATTAAACCATCATCATTACTCTAATATTATGTGTGTACAGGCGAGAGTGTGGTTACTTTTGATGGAAGAGAACAAGTGGAGAGAGAGAGAAGAAATTGAGGCTTTCTCGACCCATCTCTGCTCTATATAGTTACTGACAGCTCCACCCTGGAGATCCACACAATTCCTGGTCAGACTCCACGGTGTGATTGTGTATTTGTGCTTTTCATATTTGTATGTCCTGGTGGAGACTTTAACCTGAGTGCACACCAACCTTGGAGGACTTGTCTCACTACAGGGAGCATAAAACTTCAGGGATGTGTGTAAATAGTCAATTTGATGATGATGCATTGTTTATCCATTGCAAGTCGGCCAAATAAATGCTAGCCTATACATCAGGGGTGGCCAACTCCAGGCCTTGAGAGCCGGTGTCCTGCAGGTTTTAGATGTATCCTTGATCCATCACAGCTGATTTAAATGGCTAAATTACCTCCTCAACATTTCTTGAAGTTCTCCAGAGGCCTGGTAATGAACTAATCATTTGATTCAGGTGTGTTGACCCAGGGTGATATTTAAACCTGCAGGACCGGCTCTTGAGGCCTGGAGTTGCCCACCCCTGCTATACATAAAAGCTCTCCTATGTCTGCTTAAGTTTCACATTACTAACAGAAAAAAGTAAAGCCCAGAGGATGAGTTGGCTCCAATAGATAACTTCAGGTTTAATCACGAGTTTTTAGATGAATTCTTATAGGGGCTACATTCCCATGCCAACTTATGCTGCACACCTACAGTAGGTTATGCACGAGATAAGACAGCAGCAAGTACAAAACCAGCTTAATGACCAGTCAGTTCTGTGGAAAAAGGCGTTACCATTGGTGGAAAAGCCTGTGGTCCTAAGTGCACAGTTAGAAGAGGGGTCTTTTAGAGGTAGTTTACAGTTTTGACTTTCTCTGACAAAAATTAATACGAGACAGCAATTCTTATAAGCAACTTTATTCCTTGCTATATTTTCCTGTTGGCTGCAAAGAAGGTTAAACTTGTTTTATAAGTGAAAACAGGGCACTTAAGCCTTTTACTTGCCGTCTTATATAAAATGTAGGTAAGTGGTTTGATGTTTGCTTTTGTATTTGTTGTTTTTTCAGCTTCTTTCACTTGTTCTTAGACCACTGCAGCTGAAAGAACAACGCTAAAACTGCCTCACACACACACACACACACACACACACACACACACACACACACACACACACACACACACACAACTTAATTGAACATGCAGTTGTAATTATCACATATATCAAAAAGGCTGTAATCCAAATCAGTCTGTTAACTTTGATACAGAGTAGGCATGTCTGTTGACTTTCTTTTCTCGTTTCAATAAACTTTATTTATAGAGCACTTTTCCAGTCTTACTAACTAAAGTGCACAGAGCACACATACTCTCACACACTTACAGACACATACACATGCATATAGTACTTTTAGTACTATATTTTTCCTCTCAGACACACACAGCTGATTTGTGTGCAGAAGCTTTGTTTGTTGGTTTCATTCTGAATTACATATTTAACATCTGTATTTTTCTAATGTTATACTTTTATCTTCCTTTGTAAAATTGTTCTACAGTTACTAGATCTGTACATGCAAGCCAAGATTAGGAATACCTGGGCTGATTTATGAATTGATAACCACCTTTATATAACCACTTAGCTTGATTGCTGAAGTTATTAAGAGAAGCCACAGAAGGAAAAGACATCCTGAATATGTATGTAGTACAGCACTGCAGTAGCGTTACACATTGTAGAAATATTTAATTAGGGTAATACAATAATAACATCTAGAATTAGGTTACACATTGTAGAAAAGTTTCTGTGCTGTCTGCTTGTTTTTCAGCCACAAAGCAAAGTTGGCAACATCGCCAGTTTGTAATGTTGCAACTCAGTCATTACATTGTGTATTTGTAGGGTAGTCGGTTAAAGAACTTCACTGGTGTTACTAAGATATTGCAACACCACCCGCTACTAGAAGATGTAGTGAGATGGAAACTAACAAGTTTTGAGGCAGTAGTGATGTAGGAATTGGGTTGCTCCATACACGCTGTACAAAATGCCTCACAGTTCAGGGACATTTAAAATATGATTTGATGATTTGTCAGTTATGTCTGTTTTCTTACTTTCAGACTGGTTGAGTAATCAGATTTTTTTCCCTCCTGTTTAAAGTAATTAAAGTTAAGCTTAAATATTCACTTGTGATCGTTAGTGTTAGGTTAAGGGAATGCTCAGTGTCAATAAGTAAACCCCACAGAGATTATGGAAATACATTTGTGTGTGAGTGTGTGACTGTGTGCCTGTGTCTGACAGGACCCACATTCATCCTGCTCGCTTTGTCAGGGCTCAGACATCAAAGCATGATCAGACCTGCTCTCCTGCACACATGCATATCCACAAACATACACACACGTTGGTTTTTCTATATTTATGAGGACACTAACTGACAATCTAATCTATCCTAATCTTCAACCATCACAATGAACCATAACTACAACCCTTTGAGCGCTGAAACCAAATCCTAACCCACCTATTGCCTTATAAAATGTGAGGACCTGCCTAAATGACCTCACAACAAAGGTTTTTGGTCCGTGCAAGAATATCAGCACACACACACACACACACACACACACACACACACACACACACACACTCTCTCTCTCTCTCTCTCTCTTTCCTTCTGAGTAGTTCACTCAGTATTCCTCTTGTCTGGGGCTGTTTGATCAGCTATATTGACTTGCTGATTCTGCTACAGAGTTCAGTCGGTACAAAGACACACATACACACACACAATACACACAAAGTAAGCGGTTAGAGAATGAATGCTGAGAGAAATATGACAGAGGGGAACTGCCAAAGACCTGAAGTCAGTGCTAGTGATGAAATATACCACACAGTGTAATTATTACAGTGCTAATGCAGCTCTGTAACACGAGTCACAGGTTATTTACTGCTGCACTAAGAGAGATTGGATGGATGCCAGCTCAAACTCAGAGTAAAGCTTGAAAAGGAGTAGTAAGGAACATAGTCACAATGGGTAAAAGTAAACGACAAATACAGCAGCAACATTCTCATAATAAATGTGGGTCCTGCTTTCCACCAGGCACTGTAAAATTAGCAGATTGTTTGACATATTTAAAGAAGTCATAGAAAATGTTTCCTTCTAAGTATCACTATTTTTCCTGATTGACAGACCCTTGAAATACACAGGGGTGGGTTGAAATCTCTTGTTTTGTTAAGTCACCTTTTTTTCTAGTATTTGTGAACCCTCATAACTTCATAAGACATTAAATGTTCAGTCCTGAAAAACACATTTAAGTTCTGTTTAAAAACTGGGACTAAATAAATTTTACACCCACTCCAGGTGTCACAGTCTTAAACCAAAATGTTTTTATACAATAGTTTCTGAAACGAGTACCAGAAACAAGCACTGGTTCCCTGAAAATTTTAACCTGTTTTTTTATATATATATTTTGCTGGAGAAAAGTTCAAAAATTGCATTTTGAATAAAGGGTCACATTATTATATGAGGCTGGGTGGCTGTTAGTGCCTGACTTACCAAATGTACCATCATTTCATTCATGATTAAAAATTTTAAAATCCTGCCCTACTGGTGAACAGATAAAGTGCATGCTGAGGCTTTCCAAGTGGTTTAAATGTATTATAAGTTTATTACTGTAAGACAAAAATCACTGCCCCAACACTAACTCTGGTAAGTGTTATTAGGAAAAATCACTAATAACACATTTGCAAAATGACATCACCAAAAGGCATGCTGGGTAATGCTAACTAGCCAGGTAACTGTTGGGAAGAGGTTGGTGAAGCATTCAAGAACAGTGAAGACAGATGGAGGATGTAGAAGTGCAGAGAGTTAAATCTGCTGTTATATCTGCTCACAAGCACAGGTTACCAGGTAATGCAAAGTTAGCACAAGGTTTGGAAGAAACTGGAGTTGGTTTCATACCCACATCGAAGCGCTAACAAACTAGATATTTGTTGAAAAACAGCAAAGTGTCATTATATCTAAGCTAGAAGTACATCAGACAGGCTGTTAAGTTGCGACTCTATGTTACTGTCCAGGGTGCACCCACCTTGGACAGGTCACCCTGGACTTGCCCTGCCAAAGCTGGGACAGGCTCCAGCCCTGAATTGGATAAACACAGGAAAATGAATAGATGGATGAAAAAAACCCAGTGCTAATCATTTAAATGCCAAACATAATGTCTTTTTCTTGCAAAATGTGAGCACTCATCTTACAATGATCCAATAAAATATGATTTGGGACATTAAACTAACCTTAGTGATAACTGTTGGCTTGCATTTGGCAGAGGCTGGGAAAGATATCATAGGTGGAGGAGTGCGTTTGGATTTTAGGTGGCAAAAACTTTGCTCACAACTGTTGAGTCCTTTATCCTCCTCCTACTTCTTTTTTCTACAGCTCAGTATCAGTCAGTTTGTGCTTCTTACATTCAAGTCATGCCCACTTCTGAGCAATCCACCAACCTAAAGTCATATTTTTATGACTTCAACTGATGCTAGAGATTATCTAACTTCTGTTCCAGCCAGACTTTAAGTGGTATATGGAAAATGTGGGGGCTGGAGCCATGCTGACCAGAAATTGATGAGTGTATTAAACTGCCATTACATGTGGAGGACTGCGATGACTACATTTGCAAACAGTCAATGTGTAGGGGACTCCCCCTTTCAAAGATGCTGATTAAGAAAGAAGTCTCTCTCTGTAACACACTGAAGCAGAAAAAACCAACCCACACAAGCTACTATGTCAGACACACTCAAATGTGACACTTAATGCAGTAAATGCGCCTCCAGATCAGTGTGTTTCTGTATGATATGATTTGACTACAGCTGATGCACGGAAGCTCGCAGGTGTGAATGAATAAGAAGGAAAGTAGTGCATGCATGTTTAACAAACCTCTGCAGATTAGAGAGGGGAGTTTTTTTAATAGGTGAACAGATAATCAATCATTCTTCTGCAGTTTAAAGCACAAAACACCATCAGGCTTTAAGTACAGTACTCACAGGAAGCAGCTGTTTGCGTTTCCTGCTGGGACGACCCACTCTGCGCTTGTTGCGGGGGCTCGCCGGTGTCCCCTCCTCTGGACTGTCCTGGTCTGCACCATCTTCACTCTGTGAAATTACAGAGAACCCACATCAAACACTCAACGAAGGCTGTATGAAGTTATAATTAATGTCAGCAGTAAGACCGCATTAAAGCAACACTGACTAAGGGCAATGTGGCTAAGAAGCTCTTCAGGGCAGAAGTTGAAAAACAGGATGTAATGAGCACAGGGCACCATAGCAGTATTAATAACTAAGTTGTTTCCTGGTTTTAAAAAAGCCACTATTCACAGATTCTATGTTTTTTTTTCCCTTTAAAGAAAAAGGAAAAGAGATAAACACGCTACTGAAACAAGGAATTTAAAGTTTGACCATGTCCTGATTGAACAAAGCAGTTCTATATCTATAAATGAGCCCAATGTGAAAGAGAAAACCAGTAAATTACATGGTTGCAGACATGAACTCCAGCTGTGACGCAGACAGGATGTTGTACTACCAGACCTGCTCATGATTGATCTAAGCATGGACACAGAGCTCCAGAAGGCTGTTATACTAAGCCACTTTATTGCCATCTAACATTCACTGTGTTTGTTGTTTTTTAACTACATTTAGTAAGTAATTTAATTTATTCTGCTTTTTGAATTTATTAAACAACTTTTCTTTATAGTGCCACTTTATTGTTATATATTTAGCTTTTTTTTACATTGCATTTTGATGTGTTTTGTTCCAGAATTTACCCTTTGAGAGCCTTTATTTTAGTTACATTACTATTTAATCAATCTTTTGAGCAATTCTTACCGTATGTAACTGTGTGTTGAGTCGTATTTTTTGTCATTCTGTTAACTTTTCCAAATATTTAAGATATTCTGTCAGAGGTGTAGTTCTTTTAAGAGCTGCTCACCTAGATACTGCCATGAAGAGGTAGAAAAAACAAACAAATAACCACAAAGGGAGAATGTAGAAATAAAACTTCTATACATTCACTTTCCGCTTTTTATCAAGCTCACAAGAGGCACCAGTCTAACCAGAGATGCCGAGACCTCCCTCTCCCCAGGCATATCCTCGAGCTCTTTCAGGAGGAAACCAAACTAGGCAAGAGACATAATCTCTCTAGCGTGCCCTGAATCTGCACTGGGCTCTCCACCCAAATGAATATCTTAGAAACACCTAGGAGGCATGTAGTAAGTGTCGTGTTCACACGTCTGAATCATCTCAACTGGCTCCCTTTGATGTGAAGGAGCACCCTGAATATGAAAATGACCAAGCCCTCGCTCACCTCTAAAACTGAGCCCAGGCATCTGTTAAAGGAAGCTCTTTTCTGCTGTACCTCAAATTTTTGATTACTACCCACAAGTTCATTGAGACCTTTGCTTTAACACGCTGCTGCCTCTTTTGACCACAACAGACCAGTACAGCATCTACATGACAACAGGCCTGTCAGTCTCTCTATCTGCCCAGAAACTCAATACAAACCTCGAAACTAGGGCTGGGCGATATATCGAGTTTTTTAAAAATATCGATATATTTTTATACGAGATATAAGATGTGACCATATCCTTCATATCGATATATACGTTATAATTAGTTGTGGAGCCATAAGTTTGCCTCTCTTTCGTCCACTTTTGTCTCTACGCAACATTACTCCGCCTCGCCTCTCCTTCACTGAACACAACTCCCCCTCCTCCCCCATAGCTTCACCTGCAGGCAGCGACAATATGAACACGGCAAATCTCCGTTAACGAGTTACTGCACATCGCTCCGTGCGTGGGGCTGGAGAGCGTCAACGTGTTAACGAGCTAACCATGCTAACGAGCTAACCACGCTAACACCATGCAGCCCACAGGGGATGCACAGCCTAAAATCCTTTCATTTTCTCAAAAGTTGACAGCGCACCTTATGTATAAATTATGGTTTTGCTTGATGACCGCGAACCGATTTTATGTGGAACACGGCGCTCATCAATCTGTCAAAAAAATGTTTTAGTACGACTTTGGTAAGCTACGGAGCTGCACCGCTTGATGGATTGTCCGAGGAGCCTCGCGTAGTAATACGCACTGTGCTTCAACGTAATATTACCATATTGTGTGTGTATAAGGACCATAAATGGCACCTGAAGCGGATTTCAAACTCCAGGCTGTCAGTCACGCAGTAGAAGTTGGGAACAGAGCAGCTGTGAAATCGGTCTATGTTATTATGCTCAGCGTCTTTTAGTTTACATTTTGACTGCACAATTGTGAGCTTTTTGTTATGGACAACAACAACATATTTTTCGTTTATTTATGGAGCATTATTATTTAATAAATACTCATAATTTATTTTTGAGTAGTTTTTTTCATGCACATCTATTCTGTATGTTAATAAAAGTGCCTGTGTGACATCTGGGACACAGCTTTGACTAAGAACTCTCTTTTTGTTCTTACTTTATGGCTTTAAAAAAAATCGAGATATATATCTTATATCGCCATCCAGCTAAAAAATATCGAGATATGAATTTTGGGTCATATCGCCCAGCCCTACTCGAAACCTTCCCGATGTAAGCTGAAGGTCTTTACTCAATGAAGCTAGGCGGACTACAACATCTGCAAGATACAGAGACATGACTATGACCCCATCAAACCTGACACACCCCACTACTTGGCTGCACCTAAAATATCTGTCCATAAAAATTATGAACAGAAACAGTGACAAAAGGCAGCTCTAGAGGAGTCCAAAGCCCAACAGGAAAGAGTCTGACTTATTCCCAGCAATTCAAACAGAGCTCTAACTACAGTTATACTGAGATTTATTCCCTCGTAACAATGGGACTGATATTCCACTCCCAAACAGGACACCCCAAGAGATGTGGTCAAAGTCCACAAAACACATGTAGACTGGTTGGGAAAAATCCCATG